ACAGCAAACACAAACACACTTGTGAGTGGAACCAAGACTCATACATACGCCTTGTATGTACTGTACTCTATGGGGATCCATGCGTGGTTGAGCCGCGACTGCGAGGAATTCTACGTGTACACCTAAACACTGTGTAGGCATGAGTCCACTCCAATTATCGCCCAATTACCCAGAACACTAACATATAGTATTATCTTTTTTTTCTTAAAATCGTAAAAATGAAATCCTATGAGTTTTTCTGGTATAGGAATTGTTATACGTTACTTGTGTTGTAGTGAATGGTAGTGCCCGGCAGGCAGATGGGTAGGAACATGGGAGGAGCCCGATAAGCAGCCGTATTCATCGTGGAGTCGTAAACTTGCTACTTTGGCGGGACCTAGAGTCATTTAGCGATCTCGGGCTTAATATTCCATCATCGTGGCGTGTTTAACACGCTTTTATAACGTCGTCAGTCGGCAATCACACATGTAACACGTCTGGCTTAATTTACTTGAACATCAATCAGCGAACACATGTCATTACCCGCCATTCTTCTACAAATTTTATGAAGTTAATTTTTATTTATTTTACTAAAAGTGTTAAACGACATGAAAAATCCGGAGAATTCTTCTCGGAGGCCGAGATCTCACATGTAAAAGAGTCTCCAGTGACGTCAAAGTGGCAAGACGAGAGGAAAGCTATGAATAAAAATGATATTTTGCAGGCTTCATATTACAGAGATGTCATCGATGACAGTGGGGAATTCAACGTTAGTTCGAAGAGATTGATTCGTCTCCATCTCTCATCCACCTTGCGAAGTAACTTACTTAATGCCACTCTGCCGGACATCGTGTCGACATCGGACGCATCGATCGATTCTGATTAAAGGTGTACATGTCATTCCACGGGAACGCACCTATACTTACTTTCAAGGGACTTCATCTTTTTTCAGCTTCGGTTACGGTCCCCAAGACAAACGGCAATAAACCTGGGGACACAGAAGGATTCGTTTTACGTATGATTGACAATAACCGTTCCGTATTCAGGCTTTCTTCCAGCACATCCAATCTTACCTCCTAGTTTGTTGGTACTTAGCAAAACTTAGCTAAACTTGAATTTCTTCGAATTCATACGTTGGGTTTAATTGAAACATTCAATCAGATTCTTGAAATATATACAATTCGGCTTGTGTTAGTTTTGGTATAATAGTGGTCACCATAGTTACGTACCAATATGTATACAAACTGATTTATTTTAGGATGATCGCTTTTTTTTTTTTTTTTTTGAAATGTCGAGTTATCTGATTGTGCTTTATTTTTTAAATTGTTTGTGGAGAACGAATGTAAAGTATATGGAAATAACACCCCCCTCTCCGCGTCGCCCACTTTTCGTGAACCGCGTGATTAGAAATGGACTATCTACGAATATGTTTTCAGTAATGTTGGAGAAAAGAGGAGTACGAATTTTTTTGCTATATCAAAAATTACAAAGCTCTACGTAAAGCTGATTTTTTATGGTGATGTGAAGTTGCGTCTATCCCTGTCTGATTTTCTCTCCCAGTATCCAGTCTGCTGCTCGGTCTCATTTTCTCTCCTAATACCCAGTCTGCTTTCCGGTCTGATATTATCTCCCAGTATCCAGTCTACTGCTCGGTCTGGTATTCTCCCCCAGTATACATTCTGGATCTCGGTCTGGTATTCTCTCCTAGTATCCAGTCTGCTTTCCGGTCTGATATTATCTCCCAGTATCCAGTATACTGCTCGGTCTGGTATTCTCCCCAAGTATCCATTCTGCGGTTCGGTCTAGTAATCTGTATCCAGTCTGGATCTCGGTCTGGTATTCTCTCCCAGTATCCAGTCTGCTGCCAGTGCTCGGTCTGGTATTCTCTCTCAGTGTCCAGTCTGGATCTCGGTCTGGTATTCACTCCCAGTATTCCGTCTTCTGCTCGGTCTGATATCATCTCCCAGTATCCAGTCTGCTGCCAGTGCTCGGTCTGGTATTCTCTCTCAGTGTCCAGTCTGGATCTCGGTCTGGTATTCACTCCCAGTATTCCGTCTTCTGCTCGGTCTGATATCATCTCCCAGTATTCAGTCTGCTGCTCGGTCTGGTATTTTCCCCCAGTCTGCGGTTCGGTCTAGTAATCTGTGTTCAGCCTGCTTCTCGGTCTGGTATTCTCCCCCAGTCTGCGGTTCGGTCTGATATCATCTCTCAGTGTCCATTCTGCTGCTTGGTTTGGTATTCTCTCCAGCCTGCTTCCCATTCTAATATTTTTTCATGGTGTTCATATTCTGTGGCCCGGTCTGATATTCCCTTATTGTCTCGCTAACGATAGAGTAGCCGCTCAGATAAGTTTTTGCCAGGCTCCAAACGTATGCGTTGAAATAAGCGGTCGGCTGCGGTTACTCAGTGCTAATGGAACATGTCCAATTTGAGTCCGATCCATCGACCGACCGGCGCTGTCCACGAATGTTGACTTTCGCACGCGAACAGACAGCAAGATTCCAACTTATCACAGAACTTGTACTCCGACATTTTGGCGGATTAATTTGAGACTAATGAAGACATGTTTTCGCGTCGTTCACTGTCGACCGACATCAGTTCGCACGTATCTTGAAACCAGCATCGATCGACGGTATGGGCTATGTATCATTAGTTACGGCTTAACAGAAATTTTCTGTAACGCACGTAAAATAAATGTTTTAATTTCAGAATACCTGTACAATACAATACAATCCAATGTCCCGAAAAACTTACTCCAAATGTTTTTTCTAATCAGTCATATTTTTTTGACTTGATTTGTCTTTCAATTACGGAGGTTTTCATGAAGACAACAAGTTCTGTATACATGATACCCCTTTACTTTGTATAGCGGATATTGAATACCACTAACTATTTCCCCAAGATGACACGTATACCGGTATTAACGTCAACCGCCTTCCGGTTTGTCGTCACTCTGTTGTATCAGTTTCGCCACGAGTAACAGGACATCGTGATATCTTCGTGACAAATTGCGTATTCTGCGGCTGTTCTGTTTACAAATGTCGACATTGCAGAAAAGGAATTAAAGCAATACATGGTTTTGTTAATACTAGCACAGTCTATACGTAAGCATAATCTTAGGCGATTACAACGCGAATAAGAGACCTTTTTTAACAAACAAGTACTAGTATGTATGTATGTTGTGTTTGTTTGTTCTATTGTCGTCTGAGTAATAAACCACAGCGCCGGTCGCCCTAAAAATCTCTAAACGACAATCGGATTGGCTGGCTGCCAAGATGAGTACGGTAGCCACGTGCCGTTGATAATGGCGCCCTGGTGTCGGCGACGGTGGGCCGGAATCGTTAGTCTTTTTTGCAGTTGAGTTTTTTTTTTCTCAATATTTTACCCAGGCATTGCCGTAAATCGTTCAAGTTGTCCGTGTTGTGCCATTTTGGATAACGCAATATATAGATATAGTATAGATAAAATAACAACAACTATGCAGCAACTGGCAGTCGCCCCATTTTCAATAGCTAGTTAAAACGAAACTACTGTTTTGTATCATTATTCAAACGAGTTGTCTGTGCTTTGCTACACATTAGTGGACCGCATAAATGTTTGATGAGCAGCGCAGTGATGTTATCACGGCCGAGCCGGAGGGGTATGTTTCGGGGGTTAAGCAGAATGCACGCGTACTCACGTAAAACCCGCTGATGGATTGAATGCGTGCACAATTATGACAAACAACAAGAGGCAGATATGTGAAAGTACGTATTAAATTAATGTATACATGTGAAAAATCACACCAGCTAAATCACCGCCCTAATTACTCGACTTCTTAACTCTAGGCTAGTGCAACAAAAAACAGAAAACAGGGCACGCAACCCAACCCCAACCACGCACCAACGCATTACTGAAAGATGCGAAGAAATACGAACACGTCCGATAATGGTAAGGTCACAAAAGAATAGCCAACGTCAAAGAGAAGAACTATGCGACAGTTACGAAAAGGTCATTGTCATGAATGTCATAAAATACGGTACTTTATGAATTATGGTTACATTTTGAGTGAAGCGTGGGGAAAAGTGTGTTATTAAGTATTATTAACATGCTCATTAGTATTAAGAGCTTGTATCTACCAAAGACTGTATCACATTCTGCTTGTATCGCTTTCTGTAAAACAGAACAGTATGATATTGGGTAGGTATATCAAATGTTCAGTGGTAATATATGTATTAAAAACGCATTAAATCGAACGGACCTCTTTTCCAATTCTGCAGACGTGGTTGAGACTACGCGCAAATTTCATTCGGATATAAAACCAAATAAATGAACATTTGGACCGATTTACAAATTTAAACAGATTTGGTTTACGGTGTTTGACGCTGGTTAACAGAATCACGAATAAAATTAAATGTATCATTTGACGTACAACCATGACGCTGTAAGCCACATTTCCATTAAATAACTCGAACTTTCTGCTAACTTATCTGTCTCAGTACTTGCATGTTGTTAAAATGTCAACAAAGACAAATGATACATTTTTTTCATGACAGAATAAGATGGTCTTCAACATTAAACCAATATTCGCTCAAGTCAGTATTAAATTTCAACTTTCAACATTAATATAATCCTTCGCTCGCAGACCACGTGATGCTTTCCACGTAATGATTAATTTATTCCACGAGCGCGTTTTAAGTGACGCCCTCTTGCTGGTTGGATGCGCCACTCGAAGCATTGATTGGCACAACGCTATTTCAATTGAATAGGCAAGTGTGGACACAGACAACAAAACCGGCCCGGGGTGCGATCAAAGCAATACTCAAAATAATAGGTCTTTAATTGTAGTCGAGTATCAGAAGTTGTCTCCGCACTGGTCTTTTTATTTCTCTCTAGCGCTGACTTAGACAGTCGTGTCCCACCACCGCGTGTCGATCTATCGCGTTAAGCACATTGCCGAAGCCACTCGACGCCCTATTGCTGTTGTTGAATCTATCGATACTATATAAACTGAGGTATTAGTTTTTCCAACACCCACAGTCATGTATGAAAGTGACGACATCCTGAGCCACCGTGCGCGAGCGTTCAGTATCAACAGTATAGTGTCCCCACCAAGGGGATTCGCGTACCACGGTCTGCCGCCTATGCAGCAGTGTGCCCCGGAACATCTGACTTTTACAGGTAAATACCCTTATTTTCCACATTTTACAATTTTTTTATCGCAAATTTTTTTAATATTTTAAAAAATCACATCTCGAAGGAATTAGCAGCCACTTTGTAGAATTGGATGTAGCATTTGGCAACAGGTTCAACGCGAAAAGAACGGCCACTGTGTAAGTCAACCCCGTGCTATACATATTGTCCGTTATCGACACCAGCACGCACCTAAAGCCAACTGCACCATGCAGACATGGATCGTCGAATCGATACGCCAACCTTTCCCCATCTTCTTACACTTTTGCAGATCGTCGCAGCCATTTTGAAAACTTCGCATCGTTGTCAGGCGCAGGAGACTTGAAGTCACATCATATGCTATCCGGCGGTGGCCCGCCGACCATTCCTCACACCGTAGTGCAGAACAAAGACATCAAAGTAAACTTGGAAGGAAAGGAGTTGTGGACAAAATTCCACGAAATTGGCACTGAAATGATTATAACGAAAGCTGGCAGGTAAGTTCTAACAGAGCGTTTTTTACTATAATGCTGGAAATATTATTGACGGAACAACTGTTTGTGTTATAACCGACGGAACAGTTATCTTGTTTATTAATGCGTTTATTCTTTTATTTTGACTCTACGTGTGTGGCATAAGATCTTTTTAATGATAATTAATGTTATTTGGGCGAAAATATACATGCAATTATTGCCCACTTCACAACATGGAGGGAATTATTCTAAAACATTATCATTATACATCATGAAATTGTTTAATATTATCTCTTATATATTATCTTACGCGACTGGAAAAAATGACATAATTCACGAAACAATCCGTGTGTTTTTTCGTCGAGCGAATACATACTGTGTAGTTGAACTAATTTGAGTTATAGACTTAGCGACGCTATGTAAATGGTAGCAATCTAACTGGAGATGACTTGTAAAACGCAACTATGTATGAAGCTATATCCGATGGTTTCGTTTGGTGGGGGTCTTACATTTGTCAAAACAAGAAAACCGTGCATCTGATGTTGTGTTCCTCGTCGCAGTGGAGTAAAATACGTGAACGCTACGAGTAGATATATGGTTTAGTATGGAACATGTGCCAGTTAGCACTGAATGATTACCAAGCCCGGACGAACGGTGCCGGGATCAATTAACAATAATTGCAAAGGGGGTATTGAACGTAGGAACGCTCTGCCTTCTTAACCTAATGCCCGGCAATTTAGATGGACTTTTAGGGGACCACTAACCCGTGTCATTGTTACCTAAAAGTTTACAAATGGGAACAGCAATAAAGAAGAAATGCTAGCAAGTAGCGTGAAGTGGTCCAAACAATGGATGAAACCAGAATGAAACGGATATTGATTATATAGGCAGGCAGGCTGGCTGGCTGGCTGGCTGACTGTTTGGGCGCTGAAGTATGTAGAAGGACAGTTGTAATGTAGAGGCTGGATGTACACACGCAGACAGCAATTCCGCTCAGCGCCAAGTGCGCTACCAAGAACTGTGTTAGTGCCCACCTGTAATTACCTATCAAAGTCCAGCGACGTCTCCAAAAGGCTCAAATCGTCCCACTTTTTACCTACGACCGATCGCGTCAACATTTCTACAATTTAGAAGTTGTTCAACGATCGAGTCGAAATTCGGCAGCTCCATGTATTCCAGAAAAGTCATTGTAGACAAGAAGCTAACTCTAATACAGTTCAAATTTCAGCCCATTGCTATAACGCTAATATTAATGTTTTTTCGCAATTTGTATGTCTCGGCACCCGAACGTTTACACACCATTGCGTGCTTACACGCTATTTGAATGACATAATACGGACACCCGATACTAATATCATTTATATGTCAACAAAAACGCGAACAAAACACGTCGACGTTAAAAACAATTAACATTATTTCGCGCTTGATAGATCAGTGGAACATTACGAAGCTGTATTATTGCAGTAATATATTAGACGTTTTTAACGAATGCAATGCCAGCCCCGGGACTTTTTTAAACGTACTCTATCAACGTACTTTGTATTTGTTAAATTTTATCGCCTTCGCACAATTTTATGACCATGTGTGCAATTTCCAGTAACAAAGGTGCAAGGCCCACATATTATACATTCCTGTTTCCGATTTTCGCTGATTTTAAGTACTCAGTTATTTGCCACGCCGCCTCCACCAATAGTTCTTTTTGCTCACTATAACTCCAATTCCGTACATTCGTTATTTCCTAATCGTGACGCCGTCATATAAGTCATTGCAATACTTTACTTTTCTCGTCGTAACACCGTCACATTAGTCATTATTTTCCTCGTCGTATCCCCGTCACATTAGTCATTATCCTGCTGATTGCAGCGCCGTAACATTAGTCATTGCTTTTTTCGTCGTAACACCGTAACGTTAGTCATTATTTTGCCCATCGTAACGCCGTCGCATTAGTCATTACTTTTCTCATCGTAACACCGTCACATTAGTCATTATTTTCCTCGTCGTATCACCGTCACATTAGTCATTATTTTGCTCATCGCAGCGTCGTAACATTAGCCATTGCTTTTTGCGTCATAACACCGTCACATTAGTCATTATTTTGCTCATCGTAACGCCGTCACATTGGTCATTATTTTCCTCGTCGTAACACCGTCACATTAGTCATTTCTCACCGACCGAAACGCCGTCACATTAGTCATTACTCTACTCATCGCGACACCGTCACATTATTCATTGTTTTATTCATCGCGACACCGTCACATTAGTCATTACTACCTTTTTTATTCACTTCACTCACTAGAATAATCTTATAAATGTCGTCGACTCCGGCTTCCACTTGTTACTTTAATTCCAATCGCAGAACGTCGCCGCCAACCTCCAGTCTCACTGTCCTCGGCGCGATGTTAGCCTTGCAGTCGATTCAATCCGCGAACTCGGACGAAGATTTATTCGCTAACATACACACCCACTATTTTCACAAAATTACCCAAATAATTTGTCACCATTGGAAAAGTGCAACATTTATAAAATAAATAGGATTCTAGAAGTTATTCACTAAAGTTGTCCGTTTTAAACCGATCTTATCCACTTTTGAAGACGCGGTGAACAAACTAGCATAAATATCGTGAAAAACAAGACTAATAAGCGGGATTAATATTAAGTATTGATTTGGATCTAAATCCATTGGGTGCCTTGTTTTAATTCTACAGATGTGGGGTCATATTTTAGCTGTATCTTTATGATTATTTGATTTGTAGATTACCCTTATTGTTTTATTAATTCGGCTTCGACAATTTTCTGGAAATGGTTACAGCGTGTGTTTGGAGTTAACGTCGTCCGCAGCAGTTCGCAATTCGCGTACTCTGACTGTCTTCCGCGAAAAAGACTTGCATGCAATTACGACCCACATAACACAAACAACAAACTTATTTCGTATATATATTCAAATTTTTTTTTCGTTTTCCCCTGACTCGTCAACCGTGTTTCCGGGAACCTTCACTCTGAACCATCCATAACAAACTAAAACCGATTACGACGCAAAATGGGAATATTTATGAATAATATACAGTGACAATAAAAATAACCATTTAGTAATAACAATGGCGTTAGTGTCGTCCTTGTTAATGCAACAATAACTAAAATACAAAGCGCCACTTGCCAATCAGAATTACACCGTGTAGATATGAACGAAGTGAAACTATATCGACACTACGCGATAAATGAAATACATCCAAATATGTCCAAATTTTCCAATCGTGTGCTTTATACGTTTTCTGTTGTGATTTGCTAAATGTGGGCACTCGATATGCAGTAATCTACTTAATCTAAATATACAGGAATTAAAATAATCCCTATGAATTAATAAAAAGATTTGAGGAGGGTTGGCCGGCTGAGTCTAAATCGCAGATTGGTGACATGAAATCGATACGCAAATCTCATCTTTGTTATACTACGAACCAGACACAGAGGCTTATCGAGTCAGAAACAAGTGTCTATTGTTATCACTACGTACAAGTCATGGTACTTCTTGGGCATATTGTCCACTGATACCGTGTTCACACAAAATAAACTACACCGGCGTAGTCTGCGCCCTGGTTGGAACAATGAAACGATCGCCCAAAGTTGCGTCCATTGACAGCTTTTAAAGCGCGGTGGTCGTCGCGCAGCGCGTGTTCGAATTTCATGTAAATAAACAATGTATTTTACCCGCGTTGTATACGTCGCTTTGAGTCCCATTTCGAACAGGACGCGGCGCGACGACTGCCGCCCTTTAAATAAATACGGCGGCCGCTGAGAAATACGTACTCCTATTGCTGACCCGTATTTTGTGTATTTCTTTTTTATTTATTTGTGTCTCTAACACAATCGTCACCAATAACAACTGTTGACCATGTTACATGTCTCCCGTAAGCTAACATATTACATGCAAATACTGCACTAAAAGTGGACAGATTCTTTCATTTGTAAATCCCTGTACGCCGACGCAATGTATTCCCATCCGTTTTTTTTAAACAAACAAAACAATAACTGTTATAATATTTTGTCTTTACTTTATTTCATTCTACCAGACGTATGTTTCCAACGTTTCGTGCAAGTGTCACGGGTCTAGACCCACACGCCAAGTACATCATGCTGATGGACATCGTGCCAGTAGACGACACCAGATACAAATATCACAATTCGGAGTGGGTAGTAACCGGTAAGGCCGAACCACATATGCCCGGAAGACTGTACATCCATCCCGACTCGCCGGCTACGGGAGCCGTGTGGATGAAACAAGTTGTCAGCTTTCATAAAATGAAACTTACCAACAATAACCTTGATCAACACGGACACGTAAGTTGCAATTCTACTATAAGTGTGTGATATAAGACAGAATACACATAATAACAAAATAATTAACAAGCTGTAATATTCTATGCTATAACCGCTATGTACCACGGTGTATAACGGTTGAAACATTATGTATTGAAAAAAATAACGATCTTAAATTTCGGGAAAAAAATGAGAATTTTCTAAACGTTCTCGTTAACGGAGTATACGTTAGGATAAAACAATACAACTGACATTAGACGGAGATGGCCGCCTACGGCTGTCTTCAAGGTCCGTATTCATCCTAAATGCCTTGATCTGTTTACACTCCGGTTATTAGCACACGAACGTGATGCAATACATTCTAATAAAAACGTCAGAGCTTCCTTCGAACAATTTGAATCGGAAAAAAGTGTACAAATTGAAGCAGGAAACTCTCTTGTAGTGGTTATCAGAGCCGTTTACAAATACAGGAAAGTGAAACGGCTTGCAAGCTCGTCAATCTCCAATTATTCATAGTATCAAGTTTTGATTGTGCAAACAACTCTATAAAGCTCCTTCCACTAGGGCGGCCAGTTCGCTGAATTTTCAATTTTACAAATATCAATGGGTGGTTCGTAAAATGTTGGCAAAACAATCACGCTGAAATTATCTAATTAACTGTGTTGTGTAAACACTGTTGCATCGGTTACTAAATAAACAAATTGTAGCAATACAGGATGCCAAATGTAGGAAGAAGAAAATACTATATAATCACCGCCAACATTCGAATGAACTAAAACTCTCTTTAACAAATCTGCCTAGAGTAATCTTTTTAATGACTCTGTGTGCACTATGTCAAATCAGGAAATGATATTGACTCGCACAGCGGCCGCGACTGCTCGCATAACTTTTCAGGGAAAGCTATACTGTATATGGGAAATCGAATTAACTTTTTGAATCTCAGTAAAAGAACGTCGCATCTGAGCTGAGTATATTACCTACCAACGGCCTGTGTGATGTGTGTGGTATATAAAGAATATTGGTTTCGGGTTAAAAAAAAAAAACACGCTTATTTTTGTGTTATTCGTGTGTTGCACATTGACCCGTCGCGTCATCTGAACTCCTTTGAGCTGGTTCATCTATAGCTTATACAAAATTCTCAGCACTATTTTTAATCTCCTATAATTCGTGTTTCCCTCGGTTGTATTTATTCTGAAAACGAAAGAATTTTAAGTTAGTCGCTAGATTGAACACTTGACACAAACCGTTATGAAATGTCTCCGCCTGGTTCTACAATATTGACTGCCAAATCACCGAAAACTGTTGAATCGCATACGTTTCATTTTATCCCAATCCGAAACTGCCAACACGAAGAATTTGAATTTGAACAGTTCTACCACCGAATACTTGTACCAAATTTATATTACCTAAACAGCCATCGCGCACGTAATGTTATACTCTTTCTACTTCTCCGATCGCCCGTGGGTAAAGGATACGGCAATGATTTATCTGATGCGAGCCCAAATTGCTGTAATTCTAAATATATTTACATACATTTTGAGTTTAAGTTAGCGCTTTTACCACGCTATATGTAAGGGACTTAAAAAACAAACATTCGTTCATCTGTACGACGGATCTTAGTTATATTCAGTGACAAAGTGAAATCTTTTTTTTAAGTATTGGTTAATACAATCCTTTTTGGATATTGCACCACGCTTTATAAACATCTAGTTACCTCTACTTTATAACCGGCGGTCGTTGTCTTTCCAATTGACAACGCTGCAACTCCGACAGTCTTGCACAGACAATGTCATTTATATTTTAAAATTTGTCGCCCTGAGCGCTTGTGCATCACTGTTTTATATATAAATAAAAAACATTGACATTTTATTTTCTTGTGATATGCACCGAAGTCAGGGCAACTAGTTTGTTTTAAGAATTACAACAAGGAGAGAGCGTCAATGCGTCCTACTACACCAACATGTGTCCCCTCTATACTAGAAGCACACCACACGTAATTGGGCGTGGGAGGGTACAGGGATGAAATACATAATTCATATCACAGCACACTAAATTTTATTTTAGTAGTATCCATGTCATTTGTGCTAAAAACCGCCATGGTTTTAATTTCTTTTATTATAACATAAATGAATAATAGTATGCCGTTTTTCCGACCAGAATAAATTGAGGCAATATCATATTAATTATCTATTAAATATTAGCATATTTTGGTTGCACATCAATGCTTCGCGTCAATTCCCAATAGAACGCCTGTTTCTTCTAACATTGTAATGAAGTGGACTAAGTTAAAAGTTGTGTCATTTTACCCACGGAAAGTGGTTTTAGCACTGCAATTGTCAGTTTTGCCGTCCATGGATTGCGGAAAAGAGCGATAGCTAACAAGTCGACCGACCAAGGTGTTAAAACTCACTCTAAAAATCCCGCAAATGTATTCCTTTCAACACGTATTTGACACGTGGAACATATTTTCAGAATTTGTGTAAATCTTCACTTTAACAGGCAAGCATCGCGTCTTTATTCATACGACTATTGAATACATATTTCTCCTACTCGGCGTTACTGTCGACAGGTTCACCTCACTAAATACAATATTTATTCCCAAACATAATTTTGTTAACATTCATTCGACTTCGTTAACTTTGGACACCGCCTACTCATTTTAGCAATTTCTCTCCCGCTTCATTCGATGTTGGGTTGGAGTTTAAAAAAACTTAGCTGTACATCATATTGTCAATTCTATCACTATCGTCGCTATATGGGGGCAGGTGCAAACTCTATCTTATACACAGTTATTTAGTGTACTCCGAAAGCTATAAATCACTATCCTATATCACTGTGCTATCTCACTGTGCTTTTCTCACCGACGTTGTATAGACATAAATATATTTAAAGTTGTTGGCAGGATGGTGGAAAGGAAAAAGATCCGATAACATCATATTTTAAAGATGGCCTCCATTTGATAAAAGGGCAGAATGCTTATTTATTGATTTATACCCAGCATTTACATCGCCATTAGCAACCATCACCGTTAGCAACCATCTGATAAATAACCGGCCATGCTGTCGACTCAGTTTTTTTTCTGAGCAAAAGTTGCACTCCTTCCCTGTTGTGTTTTGATGAGAGAGCAGACGACTTTGTAGATTACTTTATGAAAAATGACGAAAGGGCATTGATCTTGATCATTAAAAAAAGAGTAGCTGACTTGAAAGACTGCAATTTTTCATTTTTTGAAAAAACAAATGTTTTGTAGTTTATTTCACGTGGAATCAATTCATCTCATTTTCTCGTTGTAAGGGTGCATGTGGATGTTGTTAGGGTCTATAAAGCACATATTAACCAAGAATTATCCATTTGAAGTACTTAAATAAATCTCCTCTTATTTAATGTGATGTTATAATATCTATAAATAAATGTTTCTCTAAAACTATTGGACAAACTAAAATAAAATAATATTGATCTTCAATAAAAGTACATTGAAATAGGCACAATCTCTGAATACGTGGAGTGCCATGGATTCTTGTGTTTGTGTATCAATACTGACATAGAATCTAATAATGCTAATCCAAAAAAGAAAGGAAGACAGAATTGATAATCAAGCGTAGATTGTAATTTATCATGGTTAATTTTATAAATATGTGGCAGCAAAATACATGCACGCACCCGGTGTGATCATTAGCATATTTTGAATAATTAAATCTGAAATATACAGGCATGTAAATATACAACAAACATGAACACATGTTGTATATTACGGACAATCAATATTCTGTCGGAGCGTTGTTTTCTAAATACTGAATGTAAATTATAAATTCCGTTCTCGCCTAGGTTCCCGTTTGCTTTCGTAAAATAGACAGTGTAGTTGAACAATTTGTGTCACAATGGAGTCCAGGGAAGGTAAAATTTAGTTACTGAGGCGTAAGTCTGGGAGTGTTTAGATGGTGGATAACTGTACACAAATGGTATCAGTTGTTTGGAGTGCACCTGTCACGGGTAGTAGAATACGTATTCATTCGCTGTTGTTGTCTGTGTATCAGAGCATGACATGCGGAGTGAATATTTCTCTAGGTTGAGGATAAACAAAAGGGTTATAACGATGAACTAGGGCATATTTTATTGGAAAAATCATTTGGTTTGAGATAGTTAGTTAAAAACTGATGCGTTATGATTTTACTATATACTATACTATAGCGGGTGGAGTTAAAGTGCGGTGGTCGTCGCGCAGCGCGTGTTCAAATTTCATGTAAATAAACAATGTATTTTACACGCGTTGTATACGTCGTTATGAGTCCCATATCGAACAGGACGCGGCGCGACGACTGCCGCCCTTTAAAGCAGTCGAGCAAACTAACTGTTTATTACTTTGATATAGTGTCAAGCAGAACAGTCGTTGCACAGCGCGCTCTAATTTCGTGTGTATTTAACAAACAATGTATTTTACACGCGTCGTACTCATCGCATGGGACCCATATCGACCGATAACACGATGCGTCGTCGTGATCTTTGTGCTTGAAAAAAAAAATCGCGATTTACTTCCATATATTTAAACAAACACAACTTGCAAAGACTTAATATTGTGATATAGATCTATCGAGAGAGTAGATTTAATTACTTAGTCTTTTGTCTAATTGAAATGTTCACATTTCTTCGGTACATCGAGACACGGTATCAACTCATTAACTGGTAGATTCGAAACTTGGTCGTGTTTATAGAAATACAAACTCTTTATTAAATCCCGAAACTTTCACGATGATGAAAGATGGACACATATTGAGACGGGAATATGATTGCACTTTATTTATTGAATATGTATCCAAGGCACATATTTTTTTTTTCTGTAAATAAATTAGTGAGAATTCTACAATTTCCGCAAGTTAAAAACCGTGTAACCATGGGAATAGCTATATCTGATTGTGCCAACATATGCCTATAATATTGTCTATTCCGGGATATCGAGTCCAAAGCTGTCAATCAACACAACATGAATAGTTCCCTTTCCACATAATCCTTCTTAAATGTTTCCTGAACGAGCGGCGCCTACAAGCCCACATCCCGGGTGTTCAGTCGTCGGATACGGATCATTAA